TTTAAAAGCCAGTACTTTTTTTACTTTTACTTAAGTAAAATGTTAATGTGGTACTTTGACTTTTACTTGAGTACTTTTTTGCCTGTGTATTTGTACTTTTACTTAAGTACATTTTTTGAGTACTTTCTCCACCACTGGTTAGCGCTAGCTTCCACTAAGTGCCATCTTGGTATTCTGCATTAGTGGAGCTAATGCTATGGTTATTGTAACCAGATTCCTAGTTAGCGCTTCCCAACACTTCCTGATCCAGAGCTGCTGTTTGGTGTTTTTGGTTGTTGGTAAACAGAACCAACAGTTTCTGAACATCTCAGGTTTTCCTGCGGTTTGGTCCGGACCTCCGGGGCCGACATGGTTCCGACCGGACCAGCGGCGTTCCTGAATTCTGATCTAACCTGTGATCCTCCAGGTGCTGGTGATCTTCTCAGACGGACTCGATGAAGACGTGATTACTCTGGAGAACGAATCTGAGAGGCTGCGGCAGTCGGGTAACGAGCTGACCAGGATCGACGCTGGCGTTGCCACGGTAACGCATGTCACACCGCAAGCGGGTAACCTGTGCATACGTTTGTCGGCAGGGGTCAGCGCGCTGCTCGTCGTAGCCCTGGAGGACGTGCGTAACGCCGCCCAGCTGCAGATGGTGGAGTTCGGCCGAGGGTTCGGATACAAACTTCCTCTGACCATCGGAATGCCGAGCGTCGGGAGCGCCGTCCTCAAACAGATCGTAAGCCGTTTCAAACATCGTCATTTAGCTTTCCTCTGATCCTGTGAAGTGTTTTTGGAGGCGTTCATGTTCACAGGCTGCTCTGTGATTCACTCAAAGCTTTCATCTGTTCTGAGGAAATGGGCCGCTGCTCCAGGCAGACCCTGATAAAGGAGAAATGTTCCTGTCGAACCTGACAGGCTAATCAACCTTCCCCCGTCATTCCAGCCAACAGCTGCTGCAGTTAATCCACAGGATGAAGAAATCTGCATTATTCTGGCCTCTCATCCACACATGTTTCTGATTAATCAGCGTTACTCCAGCATTTGGATCAAACCTGGACAAATGTTTTCCTTTCCTAGGAAAGATTCCCCAGAGACTCATTTACTGCTAAAACATGATGAAGGCTCACCAAGCATCTGCTGGCGGCCGCACAGCAGGAGAGAAGCCAGTAAACGGAGGCGAGCAGAACCGCTTCTCCTCCGCAGGGTCCGCAGGTGGAGGCGCCGAATACCAGGATGTGGTTGTCAGTGGGAGGAGGAGGAGGAACATAAGCTAATGGCTAGCATGTCTTTTCATCGAGAACAAATGGTTGTCTCATACAATCTGTAGCATCAGACATCAAAGGGTTGCTATTATGAAACATCAACTGTTTTCTTGATTTTTCATGTGACCGTGGTTCTTCTGCCATCTTCTGGGGATTACGCCCAGTATCATACGTGTTGATTGGGCTAGGTTTGCTAACTGGCAGTCCGGTCCAGACCATTTGTTTGCTTCAGGAACGGTTTCCTCACAGAGGTCAGAGTTCAGCGGCGCCCATCAGCTGCCTGGAGATGGTCGCCATGCAGTAACTGCTCTGCTGATGGGGGAAAGCTTCGTTTAGTTCCTGGATGTGTGAGAGGAAAAACCAAACATCTGGAACAAATCCACACTTTCCTGAACATCAGAGGATCCATTAGGGGTTTCTGGGCCACATGAGAAATGTTTCATGTTCTTTGATGTCTGCCTTTGAGTCATGAAATTAAATGAATGAAATGAGTAGAAATGTGCTTTTATTTCCAAGTCTCGTGACTTTAACGTCCCATTTGTTGCTTCCTGTCCCTTCTGCAGGACTCGGTGTCGAACAGGGAGTGCTGCAACATCATGTGCAAATGTTCAGGACCAGAAGGAGTCCGAGGCTCCCGGGGCCGCTCGGGGTCAAAGGTGACTGCGGCGCTTCCGCTTGAACTGCTGGAACATGAAAGCAGATCCCTGCAGTACGGATTTCATGCATTCCAGAGAGACAGAAACAGGCCGAGCCTCATGACTCAAACCTGCAGCTTCCCGGCAGATAACAGCAGTTAGCCTATCAGAAGCTATTCAAGCCTAATCTAGCATCTCAGTGCTAACATGGAGCAGCTAACGCTGATGTTAGCATCCACAATCTAGATTTCCAAAGAAGCTCCATGAATGATCAGAGAAACTCTGGAAAGATGAACTTTGCTCCAATTTGATGAAAAACCTGAGAATTAAAAATAACAAAAATCTTTGATGTTCATCTCAGCAAAAAAGATTTTGTGTTTTTCTTCAATAATTTCACAGAAATTAAACTTTTAATGGAATCTACTGCTGGTCTTTACATTTTAAAATCACAACCATCTGGTCTACACAGCTGTAATGTCTAAAACCACCAGCAGAGGGCAGGAGCCATCAGGTTACCAGGCAGTTTCTGGAGCGTCTGACAGTGAGGTGGAGGACCAGCAGAGCCGGTTCTCTGGTGTCTGTTTTAGAACGGTTTTATCTGCAGGATGATGAGAGAGTGATAATCTAGATTATCTGTCTGTAATCTGTGCTGTGTTTGTGCTGCAGGGCGTCCGGGGACAGAACGGTTACCCAGGATTCCCTGGAGACGAGGGCGGCGCCGTGAGTACATCCGTTTTACTCTCACTTCCTGTTTTAGAAATTCTGTTTACACTTCCTGTCCTGGTGTCTCCTCTTCCTGTCCTGGTGTCTCCACTTCCTGTCCCTGCTTCTGTCTTTATTCACGTTAACTGATAAACTAGCCTCCGGTCACTAGGTGGCAGCAGCGTTCAAACTAATCAACAGGCCGCCTGTAGAGGCCAGTAGAAGTAGCTGCTGTAAACGGAGCGAGGACACAAGCGCAGATGTGTTGAAATATACGGTCATAGAGGACAGATGGAGAAGTTTGACAGTGAAAAGAGAAACGGCAGCAGAGGTCAGTGAAGCAAGTATGACAGTTTTATGGCCAGGCTAAAAAATTGTGTTTTCAAATATTCAAAAGAATACAATCATAATACTACGAGAACCCAGTCGTATCAGCAGAGTGATTTAAATATTGGCAGAGTAAAGACGCAATATTGCCGGAAGAAAGTCGTTAAAAAGCTCCATAGAGTGATATGCAACGTGACCCGCTCAGCAAGTCTGGTTCTTTCTGTTAAATAAAAAGTTGTGTAAACATCGTTTCAAAGTCCTGGGCTGAAAATTTGCTTCTGATGTGCTAAAACATTTAGTACAGGGGTGGCCAAGTCCAGTCCTCGAGAGCTACCATCCTGCAAGTTTTAGAAGTATCCTTACTCCAACAGACCGGGATCAGCTCTACAGAGGCCTGATAACGAGGCAGTCATTTGATTCAGGTGTGTTGAAGCAGGGATGCATCTGAAACTTGCAGGATGGTGGCTCTCGAGGACTGGACTTGGCCACCCCTGTTTTAGTACTTAGTCATTTGTTAAACCAGGACCAACTATAACCTTACAAGATCCTCAGTATTCCGCAATTTAGCACAATATGGTGAAAACTGGTAACTATGGTGAAAGAAATTATGATCCCTGGGGGGAGCACGACAGAAAGTACCTGAGAAACACTGAGGTGACAGATCCAGATAAAAACCGACCAACGTCGGAACTGATGACGCAGCGTTTTCGCTCAATGACTTTAACAGTTACAGAATAAAGAATAAAATGATTTTCTTACATATTTAGTGGCTGCAGGTTTCCAGCCAGAAGCTGTTTGAACCCGAAAAGTTTTGGAACCCAAACATTCCTGCCAGCCCAGCAGGGACTGAACCCCTCCAGAACCTCGGGGTTCTGCTGGTTCCTCCATGCTGCCTGATCTGACCCGTTCTGTTTCTGCAGGGCGAGCGTGGCGTTTCCGGGCCCAACGGACCTCCAGGCGTCCAGGGCTGCCCCGGACTCAGAGGACAGAAGGTAAAACCCAGCCCTGCCTCTGGGCTCTGACCCGGTCCGGTCCGCATGACTTCTTGCTGCCTGCTCTAACAGCTGTGTGTGTTGCAGGGCGGGCGCGGCCTGCGCGGGAACCGGGTGAGTGACGCTGAGCCTCTGGACGGCGGACGTTTGGACCAACAGTCCGGTCCGGACAACGTCTGACTGTGATTTTCTGTGGCTGCAGGGGGAAGACGGAGAGGACGGGCTGAACGGGATCAATGGGGAACAGGTACCAGCACGGCAGCAGCATCGGCGCATCGGGTTCTGGTGGATCCTCAGAGCAGATCCGGTCCGATAGCAGTAGAGATCCTGGGTCCAAAACCAGCATTTCTAAAGTTACACAGTCAAAATGTAGCTCTGAGCTAGTTAAATGTTTACTAACTATTTAGCTTTGAGCTAAATAGTTAGTAAACTATTATAGTTAGCTCAAAGCTAACTATTTAGCTTTGAGCTAAATAGTTAGCTTGCTAGCTAAATATTCGGTGTGAAGCTAAATAACTAGCTTTCTGAGTGAGCTAAATATTTACTAAATATTTAATGAAGTTATCTGGCTAGCTAAATGTTTAATATGCAGCTAAATTTTTCTATGTGAGCTAGCTTAACGTAAATATGTAGCTTGGAGCTAAATAGTTAGCTTGTTAGCTTAATATTCTTCATCCTATGAAGTAAATATTTATTTAGATATTGTGACATTAATGAATGAATTAAATACGTTTTGCAATGCGTGAACGATCCCAGTCGGTTCCACCAGCTGATCCCGGATCTGCTCTGGTTCTGTTCGGTTTCTGGAAATGATCCGGAAGCTGATTGGACGGATTTCTGTTTTCGTTTCCAGGGAGAAACGGGAAAAGATGGAGCTGGAGGAGAGAGAGGACATCCTGGAAACCCGGTACCTATACCTGATCGATTGTTCATTCATTCATCCATCCGTTTGTTCAATCTTTCATTCACTCATTCATTCATTCATTCATCTGGTCATTTATTCACACGTTCATTCATTTATTCATGCATTTGTTCATCTATTCATCTATTCATTCATCCATCCATTCATTTGTTCATTGATTCATCTGTTAATTCATTCATCAATTCATCCATCCATTCATTCATTCATTCATTCATTCATTCCACCATCCATTCACCCATTCATTCATCCATTCAGTCATTCTTCAGCTCCTCCAGGTTCAGATGTTTCAGTTTATTAACTTTTAGACTTCAGAAAGCAGGAAAGCTTTTTTTTCTGGTTCTGACCCAGGCTGAACATTCTGACCTTTGACCTTTTCCTCCTCAGGGCATCCCTGGAATCAGAGGGGAGCGTGGGCCGGAAGGACAGCGAGGACTGAGAGGAGACCCGGTGAGACCAGGAGAAGTTGCAGTGATTACTTTTCAAGTGACCTTTGACCTCCTCCTCAAACCCAACTCAGCTCCAAACGTCCAATCAGAAGACAGAGGAGGCGATGATGTCAGAGGATGATGATTCCTCTAAATGTGAAACGGAGACATCAGGATGAAGTCCCCTGGAACGTTCCTGGATAGAAAAGCAGGAAGATTCCTTTGTCCTTCATAAAATGTCAGGGAAGAAGAAACTTTGGATCCGGTTTCTGCTCCAGGACCGGATCCATTTCCTTAAATCTGCCATAGATCATGTGACAGTTTCCTGTAGGGAAAGAAGCATTAGCATTAGCGTTAGCAGTGGATACCATAGATATAAACACGTAGATCCCTCATGGAGCGGGTCGGCCTGCTGCTGCGATACGTCATAGCGTCCGCCATATTGAATGTGGAATATGTGCCAGTAAGCTAATACAAGTGAATGGACCGAACTTAATAAAGTGACATTCCACAACGTATTTTAAGTTAATTCCTGTCATTGACACATTTTCTCACACACAATATATTTGGTAATCAAAGAAATGACTAAAGACAGAGTTTCTAACTTTTGATGTGATTATTTAATTGTTTCGTGGCATTTCTGAATAAAGAGCACAATGTTTTTATTTGATAGAAATGATTCTGATCATTTTTATATTAACATTGATGAACAGACATTTTTACAGTGTTTAAAGAACATATTTACATAATTCCATAATTTAATGTACATTTAACTTTTTAAGACAATTTTCTTGTATTTATTTTTTATACATTATTGAGAAATGACTTGATTTATAAATCAGTCATTGTCAAACATTAAACTACATATTTTTCTTACTTTTTTCCAGAAAAAAAAAATATTATGGTCAATAGCAGAGTATGCCAACTCTGCTGTTGACAGCAAAGAGTGGAAATAATTCTAACAGAGTAAATCATTTTTATTTCATTACATAAGCTGTATTAATACACTAATACTTCAGATTGAGATA